TGGTAATAACAAATGTGGGGCCAATAATTTATCTCATCTATCTCTATGTGTTAGCCGACCTGTATATTTTTTATATTCTATCCGAGCATTGTCACGAACCTTGTTAGGAAGGAAGAGGGTTGGAGGAAAGATTAATCTTCTTTCCTTCACAAATTTTCGTCTCTTCAAGTATGGACCTTCTTTGAAAAATCTTGAATATTTATTTATAACATGTGACGAACCCTTTTTTTTTCTTTTCCCGTTGTTAATTGGCTAAAGCGACATTGTCGTCGTCTTCTTCTTCTTCCTTTTTTTTTTTATAATGTATCCATTGCTGTTGTTCTAAATCTATTCGATGGTTTCTTTAAACTCTAATTTTGTATTAAACGCAATTTATTAAAGAGATAGGAAACACTTGGGAAACTAAAGAGTTGAAATCTCAACATGCACGCATCTCCAAGGGATTAACGTTGACAAGGGGTTTAGAGAGAGGTTTTGAGAGAGGGTTTGGTTTTGGTGGTAAGAGAGATGGTTGCTAGTTGCATTATATTCATGATTTAATAAATGTGGATATATAGTACTAGAGTATATGTATATACATGTTATATTAGTAATGATCTCTTGCTCTTAAAAAAAAAAAAACTTTCTCCAACATCAAGTATGGTGACTGTTGATATATTATTTTTATATGTGAATAAATTTCTTATTTACCGATGAATAAGAGGTCATCATTTATATATATGTGTGCATCAGTTATATATGTGTGTGTGTGTGTCTATATATATATATACTGTCACCATACTTGATGTGAATAAATTTCTTGTTCATCAGTAAGCAAGAAATCATTTCTGAATATTTTTATATACAAGGTAATTATTTGTATAAAAAAGAAAAGAAAAAAGGAAAGCTTTGTAAACGAGTGAGGCTATTTAAGTATTTCTTTCCTTTTTAAATAAACAGCAATTTGGTTCTATAATCTCTTGGTTAGTTGAGGAGAGTTTTGTGTCGAAAAGATTATAAAACAAGAAAAAGAAAAAAAACAAAGAGGAAGTTTAGTAAAGGATGATTTTATGCAATACACCATTGAAAATACCCTTGAAAATATGGAGAGGATTTTAATTGTTATTCCCTCAAATTCTACAAATAAATCTCGATTTGGACAAAAATCTAAACAAGAAAATTATAAATTACTCTCATGCTACTTTTAATGTACAGGAATGGAATGAAATGAAATGCTCATTCCAACCATTCCTTTTGTTTGATTTGTAATTTAAAGTGGGAATGATTATTCTATTAAAATGAAAATCCATTCATGGGAATGAAAATCCATTTCACAACTAAACCTATCTTATGGTTATTCCATTCCCAAGTAAATTTTTGTAAAAAAATTAAGTTCCCAAATTATCCTTATGTTCAAGTTCAAAAACCAATATCACCGCCTCGGCTGCCACCACCACTACCTTCCACCGCCGCTACCGCCTTCGTTGCCAACATTGTTATTGCCTTCCACCACACTGTTGCCACCTCCACTGCCTTCCACCACCACCACCACCTCCACTGTCACCACCACCACCAGTGACTTCCACCACTACTGCCTTTGACCACCGCCACCTCCATTGCCTTCCACCATCGTTATTGCCATCACCACTGTAACCATTACCACAGCCACCTACACCACTACCGCTTTCCACCATCGTCACTGCCACCGCCACCATTGTCACCGCCTTCCACCACCTCCATCGCCACTTTCACCACTACTACCACCGACTTCTTGCACTGCCACTGCCACCCCCACTACCTTTCACGACCATCGTCACCTCCATTACCTTCTATCACCGCCTTTTTCCACCACCACCACCTACACTATTGCCGCATTTCATCACCACCACTGCCTTCCACCATTATCATTAAACCACTGACTCCTTCCACCATTACCACCACTAGTTCTACCACCTCTACTGCCACTACCTTCTACCACACCACTATCACCTTTTGCCACCGCCAACGCTACCTTCCAACACCACCACCTACACAACTATCACTTTCCACCTCCATCATCGTCACTCTATCTATCACTACCGTCATTTTTAAAATATATATATATATATATATATATATATATATATATATAGAAAAATATATATATTTTTAATTTAATTTAATTGTCACTAAGAGATTTTTTAAAAATTTTAATTTAAAATTCATTACATTCTAAATTTTAAATTGGTTCAACCAAATACTAGAATGGTTATTATCATTTTATTTTTACACGTTCCATATTTACAACCAAATAATAAAATAAGAATGACCATTCCATTCCATTCTTACAAACCAAACCATCTTACATACCAAACCATCATCAATCTCTATCGGATCTTTTATATTAAGATTTTTTTTTTTCAATTTATATATATACATAATGTAAAATGCCTCTACCCGCTCTCACATTCCTATTTTTCAACTACAAGAACACTTGCCTCTACCTCTCGCACATTCCTATTTGTCAATTTGCCTCATCATGAAAGAAGAGATTCCATCATTGTTATATTTCCCATACTTGGTAAATGTGCAACCAATGATGCTGGTTATGGCTCTTGACATATACCAATAGTCCTGGGACATCTTGTAAGGCATCTAAGTTGAACTTCAAGTACCAAAATTTCCTGAAAAAAAAAATATATAATAAAAGTTTCTTGTGGCTTGATTATTGGTTGCCTAATCGTGCCTGTTGGATAGGACAAAAACTTTAATAATCTACGAGTACTGATGAAATGGTATTACTTAGTATGTGTTACTCGCTGAAATAATAGTTATATTCTCACTTATGTGATAAGATATAATTGGTTAATAATGTTAATGACGCCCATGCAAGGAAGAATTTTCTTGTTGAATAGGATTCCTTCAGGCTTTAGTTAGCTGTGCTATAACCAATTGTCAGCGGAACATTCCATATAGGCTCTAGACTTTCTTCCTTATTTCCTCATATATGAGCCTCTAAAGCCCATTCCTCCTCTGAAACCATCCTCTCTTGACTCAGCCATTTGGATTCCCTCCCGAAATGGCAAATTCAGCCTAAAATTCAGTGTCATTCCTTCATTCTACTGTCTTCTATTGTTCCAAATTCCATCCCTCAAACTCTCCACTTGTGACAGCTTCTCCATCCTTGCACATTCCTATTTTCTTCTCTGTGCCTTCCATGTAGGAGACTTTCGAAGAAACACTGATATAACTCGGAGAGATGGAGCTCAACCAGATATCCGACCAAGCTACGCAAGTAACATCTTCAAGCATTGGGGAACATTTAACATCCAAAGTTTCCTCCATTCGGAGGGATCTACCTTGTTTGTCCTCTCAATGGTGGAATATGCAGGTTTGAAACCGAACTTGCTTACATTAGGAGACTTTTCCTAATGACTTGATCTTTGATTATCTTCATAGGTAACAATCAGGACAGCTCTGATTTTCTCTTTAGTACTGTCCAACGAGAAAATGGTCAAGCTTTCGCTTAACTGGTACCAAGGGAAATCAGTTGGACCTGAGTAATGATCCTGCTGGATGGAACTTTCAAGCCTGTTGAAGTAAAACAGAAATTTTAGAAAAGATAAACCTTAGACTTGCCTTAAAAAAATTAAAATAGTAGAGGGGAGAGAAGAAAAAGGAAAGAAGGAAAAGAACTTCTGAAATATCAGTTTGTTTGGCAAGTGTTAGCATGAAAATGCAGATTGAAAAAGCATGACAATTACTTCCAGGATATCAGTACTTGTGCAAGTGATCAGTTTGTTATATCTGAAACTGCACATGCTTGACAGTACAGCCATATACCCAGATCGGCGGAACTTTTTGAGTTTAGTTTTAACTGCTAAAAATGTAAAAAAATCTAGCCGATCAACATCCAAAAAGACTACAAAAATACAAGAAAGATATCAGATTTCTGTCTGGTTGGAAAGCTGATCTTGCCTGCAAATAATGTTGTATACATGTGTGAGGCCGGTCAATGGAGATGGAAAAAACACAAAAATGTTTTGATATTTTAATGTCATATATGGTGGGCTCTTGGAACCGTGGTCTGTGTCTCAAACATCACAGTAACTTCTAGCAAATCATATTGTAGCATACTAGCATATGACATTGCACACCAACCACACTATGAATGTTATAGCTTTCATTAAGTAGTGGCCCCAGTGATCAAATTCTGAACATTTTGTACAGGTAACTTTGGTCAATGACGGCGGCTTGTCACATGCCTACATCAAATTGTGTGAGTGTGGTTAAGGAAGCCTTTTTGGTCAAATTTACATTTATAAAACCACTACTACTACTAATGAAGTATAACGAGTAGGGATTGTCCGTAGGGATTAAACACGTAGTTGGAATCTAACTTTGACTCTTAGTGGATCACAAGATTGCAAAAAAGAGACGGTTTGGTTGGTTGATTACTCTAGAGTTCAATTAAATGAAAATGCAATTAAATTAAATTAAGTGGGCTAGGATTTTAATGATAGGAAGAGAGGCCTTAGGGCATTGGAATCACCACCAAGCTCATTCACCAAACCACATACTTTCAACTAATTGGGGAAAACATTATTGTAATCAAAATGCGACTACCAATTGCGATAATAAACATGGACCATCAAATACAAGCATAAATTGTCTACATAATCAACAATTATACTAAGGTGTAGCACAACCCATCAAGACTAAGTATGACCTATCAAAGTAGTCACAATTGTAGCACACATCAATCTAGAGAATCATTCAATTTGCAAAATTAAGCCATGGAATCTCAAATTTAAGCATAGATTGTCTACCTAACAACAAATAAACTAGGGTGTAGCACAACCCATCAAGTCTAAGCATATTCCATCAAATTAATTGACAAACCCATCTAATGAAAACCATGCATGGCCATCACTAAATCCTCAATTAATCATACATAGACATGTAACCAACATAGAAAATCTAATGTAGAGACATAATCCTCAAATAATCACACATAAGACAACATGTAATCACATAGAGAATTACTAGGAAGAATTAAATCTATAGAATCAAAGAAGAACCCAAGATTCATTATATACATAAGGCCGTAACACTAATTACAAGACATAATTTCCCAAAAAGTAGAAAGATAAGAGTTTAGAAATACAAGCTTGGGGCTCATCTAAGCCCCAAGGAGAAGTCTAGTCAATCATGGGAGAGGTGGATGTGATCTTGGAACCCTCAAAGGCTATCCCAAAATATAGCTCCATCTTCTTCCTCGTCTTCTTTACTCAAAAACCCTAATCTCTAGAGAGAGAAACTATGTCTAATCTAACAAAAATGAGTAACAATTTCTAACAAAAATTAGTAACCCTTTACAAATGGTTCCATTTGATTTAAATACTAGCTCCTTTGTGTGGTCTCCAAGTTAGAATATGGCCTTCTAATTGGTGCAATCTCGCAGCCCAAAGTTAGGTGGAATTCGGGCGTGCTCGGAAATTAAACAGCTCTCTGCCAGCAGGATTTCGATCGATCGAGGGGGTCTTCGATGGACCGGGGACTTTGGCGATCGATCGAAGATGATGTGGCACAATTATCTTGACATCTGGCAACCTTATCCATTGAGCTGGCAACCTTATCCATTGAGCTAGCACCGCCTTGGCTTCGATCGATCGAGGATCTCGGCGAACGATCGCCAACTTTTGCGATCGATCGAAGACTCTCCAGTGCAGTTTTTCTGACTTTTTTTGGATTTTCTTCTTTACTCCAAAAAGGGCTTAATAGGTTGTTTTTAGCCTGTTTGAACCTTATTGACCTAAAATAGACAAAAACACGAATTAGAACTAAAACAGAAAAGTAAGATAGATGAATGGACTAAAATACCTTAACTTATGTGCTAAAATGCGCAACATTTGAGCACTTATCAGTTAACTTCCAAATTCTCTGGTCCTTGGGTCCTCACCAATAGCAGATTCTTACATGGCTCTTTAAGCTCTTAATAACCTGGAGATGGAGAACTCTAGCATCAAGCCTCTCTCTCTCTATATATATATATATATATATTATATGTATATATACATACACACACACACACATCCATCTATCTATGGCTCAAATTAAGGTAGTGCTTACTAGTTTTTTCCTTGTCCTGGTTTTCTTCCATAAAATCCAGTTTAGTGAGGGAATGAATTTAAATTTAGAGAAGGAAAATGGATTGCCAAAACTCCAAACTCACACCAAGATCTACGAAAAAGAAAAAAAGAAAAATGCACAGCAGAATATAAACTTACAAGGTGACAGCGCCTCACTGAAAAGGAAATAAATGCTTCCTCTCTATCAATTGAAGTTTTCATTTCACTATTTTTTTAACCAAATTTTTCTTTCCAAAGAATTCATCAACAGAATCTAACACACGTAATGATTCAAACCCACTCTCAAATATAAATGTGTGTGTGTGTGTGTGTATAAATATATATAGACATGACAAACGTAACATCAGACCCTGTAAATCAAAGGCACCTCCAGTTTCAAGTAGAAAATGCTATATAAAAAGTAATATGAACATGAATAATTACTCCAATCTATCATCCATCATAAGTTTAGAAATTAGAATAATCATTCCTGTAATATGGGCAAGGAGGGTTCAGGAGTGGTGGACATAACTACTTTGTACCACTCCACTTTAAAGAAAATTTTCTAGCATGAGATTGTTTTCCAGGAAATAAGGAAGAGGGGGGGGAATCCTTTTGTTATTGCGTTTCTAAGTATACTCCCTTAGCTTCATCAAATCACCCTACTGCAACTAAATGGCAAATACCATACAACTTTTATTTCTCTAACCTTTTTTTATGCCTAACAATCATAACTTCAATTCAATTTAACTGAAAAAATCCTTGTACTGGTTGTACGGAAAAACTTAAATTTACATTGTATTATGCCTCTTCTTGCAACATCAACTCATAATAATTTTCATCTGCACATTCCCCTAACAAAAACCTCGATATGTACTATGTCACATTTTCTCATTGGTACGGTTACTAGTCTTCATTGCATGTGGACATACTGTTTGCCGATATCTCTCATTTCATCTCCAATGGGTGTTATCTCTATGATCTCATGGATGTGCTCAAAACTAATCTACCCTTGTCTTACCAATGTCCACAACAATATTTATAGTTTGACTACACTTATTTAACAAACATGCCTTAACCATACAATATTGTCCCATATAGCATGACTTTCTTGATAGCTGTACTATTAATTTTTCCTTTTAACAAAAGAGTATGGAGATCACATAGTTTTCCAGAAGCATTCCTCACATGGTTCAACAGAAGGACTCTTTCATCTCCAATCTTTACCTTCAGGTGAACATTCAAGCCTAAGCAATGAAATTATTCATTCTTTGATACCTCTTGATCTTTGATGTTCAGCATTCGTGTCACTAATTTCACTTAATTAACAATTAAACAATCCCACTTATCTTAAAATAAACGATTCTAGACCTTCAAATATAGGTTTTTGTATGTTTCTGCTTTGTTTCCATCAATTAAAATAGTATTATCAGTAAATAATAGATGATGTGCAACAATCATATTTCACTAAAATGGTTCTTTTTTTGGTGCAGACAATAGTGCCAGCCTCCACAATCATATTTCACTAAATATTTCTGTGTTATATAAATACCAGTATCATATATGGAAATGTATTCAAATCTCTACTTATTACCTCGAAGGATCAATCACCTAGAGATCTGCATCTTTTTTTATAAAAACTGTTCCTTCTGTAACCTAAGTACATCATTTAACAATTGAATATATTGTTATCCTAGTATATTATTAATATCAACAGTGTGAGTGTACAAGTAATATACCTGGACAGAAAAAAAGAATACAATATCTCTTGGACCATTGGGATTTGACAAGCACGGGGAAGATCCTTTGTCTTCCTGTTAAAGTCACTATCAAATAATGATTTCACACTCTTAATTTAATAACCATCAATGACTGACCATGCTCACGCAATATAGCTTAGCACAAAACATAATTAATAATTAAATGCTCTTTATTCTCTAAGATAGTGCGGGTTCCTTTGCTTATGTAAATTTAGTGGGAAGAGGCAAGGGAGGGACTTCCTAAAGTCGAGGAGACGACGACAAGAATCTCTATTTATAATTCCATTCCCATTAAAGGAAAGGGGGAGAGAAGTTAAAAAGCACCACTTTCAAGCTCATGATTTTCTTCGTGTGACTTACTTGAATCAAATATATGACTACTAAATTCATGACAAAGTTAAGTGGTAGGGACACTTTGGAGGTTAGTGGTTTTGGTGCATTTGACTTGACTTCTTGCTTCTTGACCATTAAGATTTTAAAAATAAAATAAACTTCGTACGATAAGTATATCTACCAAAACTGGGTGGATAGGGGCAAATATAAGTCATTTTTTCCCTATGAATATAATTGAGCAAACAACCTAGAAAAGACCAAGACAATAAAAGGAACAATCCTTGAACAAATCATCACGGGTTCATAAAAACCATTAACTCAATGAAGTCTTGTCCCAATTATTCATGGTCAAGGATGTGGTGTGATAGTCCAGTGGTAGGGCATGTGATGCTTGTGGCCAAAGGCCTAAGTTCGAATCCCCATTCCATCACGGTCAATCAAATAAATTATGTTCCACCATTCTACACCATCTAATGCTATAAATTTTGTTTTCCTTCCCCAGCGTTACTATAATGTGGATCATGTCACTCTTCTTCACTAGTACAGTCACTGAACTCTACACTAGACTGCTAAACCTTCTTAGACTATAATTGATTTTCTGTCAAACTTAATAAATTTTACATGCCTAGAAACCCCTCCATTCTGGTGCTTTCCTCTTCTGTTTTGTTTAGGGTTGATGCATAGGACCAACTTTTTTCCCTAACTTTTTTTCTGCCTTGTACAAGGACTGTCATATATAACATGTCAGGATGTGACTGGCTTAAACTTTAAACAAAAGGGCCTGAGAAGAGTCCTACACAAAAGGGAGTCAAACCTATATTATATATAAATTAGAGTTCCACAATGATTCTGCGAGTCAGAATGTTTCTTATGCAAAGGCTCTCCCCAAAAAGCAAAAGCATATTCAGATAATTATTCATGAATAATTATTCATGGGGGCTTTGTTTATTCATGGGGTCTTTGTTTCTTATACAAAGCCCCCAAAAAGGAAAAGCATATTCAGATAATTATTCATGACTAATGATACTCGGTCAAATTACGGCTGTGATATTTAAACCATCCATTGTTAAAAAAATCTTTCCAATAAGTGGTGGTTGTTCTGGTAACTAATAATCATTATGCACATGTACACTATAATGAGGTGCTTTACTTTTAGAGAATACTATTTGATTCTAGTGCATCAAGCCTGGATTTACAATGATAAAAACAAACAATAAAACCAAAAAAATAATAATAATAACTGAAAGATGATAGAGAGCTAAAATACCGTCTTATGTTGAATTTTCAGTTATAACCTCTAACATTTAGTAGTTTATATAACCATGGAATCATGTAAATACAGAAAATGTCCAGCAACTATATAAATTAATATTTCAATTTTATTATATTCTATATATGCCAAAGAAAACAAATGAACAAAGGAGTTCTAAGTTTCTAACTCCTTTTGATTCATTGAAGGGATTGAAGAAATAAAGCAATGGCTCTGAAGGTTTATAATCATCAATGTAGAAACTATAGCATGAAATAAAAATGTGTTTTAAATCTGACTTTAGTAGTATTCAGATCGTCACTTTCACATGAACTAGCAGATTTCAGAAAATTTGACTAGAATAAGACTGATGTTGTTCCGATGAGAAAGTTTACAAGCGTATGGTGATACATTAGCCTAAAAATAAAATAATAATAATAATAGCAGTTCAAACCACCTAATGTGTGTTCTATCACATACTGGACACAAGGTCTGTCCAATATAAGGTGGGTTTCTTTTCCCGTTGTGTGTTTGGGAGAGATTTTTTTTATTGTTAGCAACATACTCCAATTAATGATTATGAAGCATCTCATTAGAAAGCCGTTTCTTATGCACAATATTAGAAAAATTAGAGAGCAACACCATTACTAAGGGACTATCGCTTAAAGAAAGGGCACTTCATTGTTATTGTTATCATTCCATCGAATATTATCCTCTGAGCTAAAGATTAAGTAATCATGCATATCACTTAATAGCTTGCACACACCACTAATAAAATCAAACAAAAATTAAGGACAGATGTATTTCACATGAATTTGTCGACTGAAAGAGTTAACAGTTTGCACACAGCAGTTCAAATAAAACATAAAAAATCTGTAAGTGGGAAGTACAATAGAATCCATCTTTTTGTGCATTTGGGTGGTGGGAAGACCAATTTGGCCCCATTATTATTAATCTAAACTAACATAACTGAGCTCTTTCATCTAATTTGCCAGTAACAATTGATTTAATAGATTACCTCCGTGCAACATTCAAACGGTAAAGCAGCATTTCAGCACAATCAAAGGTCATTATCAATCAAGGGTCAAGCTTCAAACTCCAACCAATGTATGTCTTTCGAAAATATATTGATAGCAAATCAGCATGAATAAATTACTCTGTATTTATATTGTCCTAGGAACATGTTTTTGTATTTTTAAAAGAGAACTAAAAAAAGAAAAAGAAAGTAAAGAACAGTAGCAAGAGACATAAAATAAACTTGAGAAAGATAACCAAGAAAGGAAATATATGTATAAACTTCTTTCATAAAGGACCCTTAAAAGCTCATAAATGCAAACCGTTCAAATTTATATTAGCACCGGGGAATTAGCTTAAGGAATTATCAGCTGCTAAGATCCTGCCACGGCATGTTCCCTACAATTATAAATACCGAAGGAGATGCAAGCTGGTTGTGGCCATTGTATTCATAAATCTTTCTCTCTCTGTCTCTCTCTCTCTCTCTCTCTCCAACAATAACAGGAGCATCCAAAATCTTTCTTTCTTTAATCATGACCTATAACCAACTCATCTATGCTGGTGCTTTTCTTCTAGCACTAGTTGCATGCAATGAAATTCTATTTGCTGCGGGAAGGCAACTAAAATCAATGGAGAATTCCATTGAAGACCATTCTGCTGCAGGGAAGAAAGGAGTCTTTCCACCCAGGACACCTAATCAAAGCCTTGGATTTGGTGATTCAGTTGCAGTATATAAAGACGATTTTCGACCAACAACACCAGGTAACAGCCCTGGTGCTGGTCATTCTTACAAAGATGATATTCAACCAAAGGCATTAGGTAAAGGTCACGGTGTTAGCCATTTTGTTCCAGGAAACCCAGATGATTTCCGACCCACAACCCCAGGTCACAGCCCTGGTGCTGGACATCAGTTTCAAAATAAAAACACAGCGCGGCCAGCGCCAAATGCATAGACATGTATAGGAAAACAGAAGTACTTTGCAATTTGTATGTGCTGTAAATTACCCATAGGTTGCCGAGGCATGAGTATTTTAAGTTTCATTAGTTTCATGAACTAAACTGTCTTTTTACAATAATATGTTGTAATTAAATTAGAGCACCCACCCATGTAATTGAAAGCTTATTGTGTGTAATAAAATTGTTTTTGCATGTTCCTCGTTCTTTTCCTCATTATGTGCGTGCATGCGAGTGTGCTTGTTTGTGTGTGTTTTGCGAAAAACATAATCCAAGGGTCAATGGCACCTTCAAAGTAAAACTGTAAAAGTAAACAAGAGGTTAAGCAATATAAATGATGTCACGTGGGAAACCATCAAATACAGTTCAGAAAGCCAAGGAACACTTGACAACTTAAGAATCCAAAACTTTCCTTTTTGGGTTGTTCCATATTTCACCATGTAAAAACTTCTTAAATTAGATTATAAGAAGGCTAGTGCCATGTAGTCCTCTTGCATATAATATTAGACAGTCACCATCACCAATATATCACAGAGAACATACATTTATGCCTGTGAGTGTGTATGTCTCTGGTGGTAGATATCACTGTTTTTAACTCATAATCCATGGCCAATTTCTGTGTGTATGTGTGTGTGTTTTTAACTAAATCCAAATTGCACATTAATCGCTACTACCAATCGACTTTGTAAAATCAAACTTCCAAACTTTCTACCTAGCCAGATTTTTGCGGATTTTGATTAATTCCTTCTAAAATAATGCTAGAAATCATAATTTTTTTTGGAAATACACACAATAATATAGATATATAAACAAAGATATTAAGGGCCCAACTCTCCTTATCACAGCTTATAGTTTTTTTGGATTGAAAGAATACTCCGAGTTAAGGTCCCACCAACATTCATTTGCGCTCTTTCTCTCTCTCCCTCCCTCCCTCTCTCTCTCTCTCTCTCTCTCTCTCTCTCTATATATATATATATATATATATGTATAATACATGCACGCACACATATATGTATATTTAGCACCTAGTTATTATCTCATTGAGAGGATCTTTTACATATAATAACCATTTAGTCATGGAGAAATTCAGAAAAATGAATAATACTTGCTTTAACATGTACACGAAGATAAAACCCCCTTTTTTTTTTTGGCATACAAAATATTAATGATTGTATTCCATTACCTTCTAAATATTTTCTTCACGAAGTAAAGAAAATATTATGCTCAGTAAATGGACAATATATTTACTAAAAAAGCTATATCGAGAGTGTTCACAAAGTGAGCTTGTGCCATCATGATAGACTTGTTGTATAATCATGTTTCTTTTGTACTTATTATCAATTGGCCTATCAACATGACAAAATCTGTTTATCAGATATGGTACATCTGTCATGCACGGGGACAAATTCAAGATTCAGAAATTAGTAGTAGAACTCTTAAAAAATAAAAAGGCCAACATATGTTAAGAATATTAAGGATATTCAAAGTAATGCGTGAGTTAATAAATACAAATGATAGATTCATAATTTATTCTTTTGCACAAAATATAGGGATAATGTCATTAATATCAATATTAGTTGGAGAAATTGTTGCTAAGTATTCATGTCACCCCAGTAGTAAAGATTATGTATTAAGGTTGAGGATATCATAGGATTATGATATAGGCCGTGTTTGAGTTAACCCGAGTTATGGAATGTACTCGCACAATACAAATTCAACCTGGCAATATCGACCCCTAATTTTCGACAAGGCATTCGTAAAAATTAGTCCACCAAATATATAAATAGAAAAATAAGATTAATGAAACAACAGTGGCAATGTGGGGAGTGAAGACTGGAGATTATGCAAAAAAGCATGCCAAATGGGGCAAAGCACAACCCTCAACTCACCTTTAAATAAATGTGGGATCACTAACTAAAAAAAAGGCAATCTTTCCACAATAGAGAAGAAGAAAGCCCATTAACAGGAAGAGCCAATGGAGCACTTCTCAAACTTCCATATTGCATATATACATATAATATGTATATATATATATATATATATGTATATATGTATGTATATGTATATATGTATGTATATATGTATGTATATGTATATATGTATGTATATATATCATGAAAGAGAATAAAAAAGCACATGGTACCCAATAGCTCTGAATATTTATTTACTTTGTTATTTTAGATTAAACAATTATAGGGCTATAAATTTGTTTAACATAAACAAAGAAGGTTTATGAATTACTAAAAAGTAATTTGATTGCAAAACCTAAACCCCGACTTGATAAAGAATGAAAAAGAAAACAAGGAGAGAGATTAAGTGCGCAATCAAAAGACATCAAATAATCATCAGAATCATTATCATCAATCAACGCACAAACCATACAAAACCCTAGCAGGAACAGATGACGTACCTGTTGAGTGTTTTTGTAATGCGGTTGTGATTGCGAGATTTGGTTTCATCGTCCCTTTTACTCCTCATTGTCTGTGACTATGAATTGCAACGATGTTGTATACTCCTCTCGGGCTTGTTTGCCAACCTTTTTGTTTCGGTTTTTTTTTTTTTTGCGATTTGAATAATGTTGGGTTCAAAAACATTCAATTGGTGATTTTTTTTTTTGGGGTTCAAAAAACTCAGTTATAAAACTGTGTGTCATTGGAGAACTTTTTTTATAATTCTTTAAAAACAGTGTTTTCTAAGTCATAGAGAAATGGAGTATTTTTAGCAGGGGTCCCAAAATGCCAAAATTTAAGATAAATCACGAATGCGAAATTAAGTGGATTTGGATTGACCTTAAACGGGATTAATTCGTTTAGTTAATCGTGTCGTATTTAAATTATGAACTTCAATCCATTTTAACTATACATGTCATAAATAAATTTTTCTTAAATTCCAAAATTACTATATAAATATAATTTACTCTTTTGTAGACTAGTGACTATTTACTAATTTTGTTGGATTCAAACTTATATTTATCTAGTATTTATTGTTTCATTGAGTATTATTAATAATTTAAATAATATAAAATAAATAAGCCATTAAACGAATTATACTTAATAAGCATTTTGAGTTAGTGTTTAGAATTCCTGACACGATTATTAAACAAGTCAAGTCTAGGTTGAGATATTTCGTAGAACATTCTTAAATTGACATTTTTTGAAAGTTAGCCGATATTCACATAGATCCTCTCGCACTCCCCAAAAAAAAAAAATAATAATAATAATAATAATAATAATAATAAATAGTCTTTTTAGAAGGAGAGAGGAGTTTTGTCAAATTAAGGTTTAGGAAGGAAATTAAGGAATATTTTATAAGGATGTGTTGTATTTTTTTTAGGGATAATTTCACTAACACCCCCTAAAGTTTGGCGAAATATCAGTTTAAAACATCTTTCGAAAATAACTATCACTCACATTACAAACGTTTGTTCCGTTTTTCACTCACATTCCAAAAGTTAGTTGACAGGTGTGTCAGACCACTTTTTACATATAAAAAGATATTCTTACCCTTTGACTTTGGTTTGACCCATTTAATTATTTCTTTAATGATTGAAATGACATATTTACCCTCATTCAGATGTCATATTTACCCATTTATACCCTCACATATTATTTCAATTCACCCATGTGTCTACGTCTTATTGGTTGTTGACCTTATTTTTTTTATTTCACCTTATTATTTGGGGCCAAACAGTGACACGTCCCACCCAGGGAAGGCCAGAACTCCAATGATGACTAGAGAGAACAATGATGATCGGCAGCCAGAGTTGACAATGACGACTACGACTGATGAAGATTCCGGCAACGATAAAGGAGAGACCACCATGTCCAGAAAATTTTATTGTCTTATCTTTGTCATGTTCAATTGATTATGGTTACATATAAAACCCAAAAAAATCAAGGCAGATTTAGATGACATAGAACAAACTGTGTATGATTTTACCAATTAATTTGAGGATGAGCGTTAGACAATACCAACACTCCTGGGGATTTACTCGAGAAATACCCCACACACAATATAGCCCCATATTTGATCGGTCATAACCCGCGTGCCTTCCCACCGACCCAAGCAACCCACCGTCCCACCGACCCAAGCAACCAAATTCGGCAACCCCAAGCAACCCAACCTACCTGTGATTGCAACTTACAACCGTCGGCACAAGATGGTGTCCACTACGCCGGAGAAGAAAACAGCATTCGGAATTGATGCAAAATAGTGACCTAACAAACTGTGGCCATAGGAGAACACGACCTGCCTTCCTACACCGACAATCCACACACGACGGCCACGCAAACCACTGGCGAGAAAACTGTTACTCGTGACGCACAACAGCGACCCACAGTCGACGGTACAGCAACCTCTGGTTCGGCATTTTCCTTCCCCCCAAACCACCACTGTCCGGCGACCCTCCCGCACTCTCTGGTTCAGCCATCGCTGCAGTGCTCAGCCGATCTCCCTTTGCCATCATCATCTTTGTGCCTAACCGGATGTCTCGGCCGCCGTCTTTTATGCGATTGTTATATATATATATAACATGTATATGTATACATATATATATATATGGGAGTATAATGGTCATTTAAGTAACTAGTGTATTTGGTATTAAATGTGATTAAAAATTAGGGGCAAATATGTCTTTTCTCACTTTTTAACGGAGACCGTAACGGAAAAGCGAAATTGGACCTCACTAATAGCTATTTTCGAAAGATATTTTAGACTGATATTTGGCCAAACTTTAGGGGCTGTCAGTGAAATTAACCCCCTTTTTTTATAATAAAAGAGTACGCATGTCATTTAAAGAGTTTTATTTAAAGCTCAAAACTCTTTTGTTTTTTTTTTTTTAAAAAAAAGAAAAAAAGAAAAAGAAAAAAAAAAGATGAATCACAAACATGATACGAATTAAGTGGGTTTGGATTGATCTTAAACGGGTTCGAATCGTAAACAATTCAATACGATTAATCCGTTTAGTTAATCGTGTCGTGTTTGGGTTATGAGGTTCAACCCGTTTATACACGTTTAACTATACATGTTATAAATAAATTTCTATTAAGTTTCAAAATTACTATATAAACTGTTAAAATTTACTATTTTGTAAACTAGAGTCTATTTAGTAATTTTATTGGATTCAAACTTATATTTTTTTTAGTATTTATTGTTTGATTGAGTATTATTAATAATTTAAATAATATAAAGTAAATAGGTCATTAAACGAGTTATACGTCTAACCCATTTAATAAACACTTCCGATTAGTATTTAGAGTTCCTTATTAAACAAGTCAAGTCCGAGTTGAACTATTTAGTAAAATACCCTTAAATTAACACGATACGATTATAACCAGCGAACACGAATTGCCACGTCCAATTTTTAGTGACAGACAAAAGAGAGTGAATATTTTTGACACTTTAGCTAAACATTGTTACCATGAACAATATCCAAAAATATTGACGTTTTTTTAAGGGTAGCTGCTATTCACAGAGATCCTCTCGCACTCCAAAAAAAAATTTAATAATAATAAAAAATAGTCTTTTGAGAAAGAGAGTTGAGTTTTGTCAAATTAGGGTTTAGGAAGGAAATTAAGGAATATTTTATTAGGCTGTGTTCTTTCCTCTTTTTTCTTTTTTCTTTTTTTTTTTCTTTTTTTTTTTTTTTGTAATAAAAAGGTACACTTGTTATTTAAAAAGTTTTATTTAAAAGACCAAAACTCTTTGCTTTAAAAAAAAATCAAAAATCAAAATATCTTCAAAACCCAAAAGGCCAAAAAACAGTTGTTAGAAAGTATATCATGCATTAAACATATGGAATGACCTTTTCATTTAAGTAATTTTTTTTTATAAAAAAATCAAGTTCTCAAAAATTCCCCATGTTCCAAGTTCAAAAACCAACATTGCCCTTCCACACCACCTTCCATCACAACAACGCTGCATTTCACCACCTCTACCTCCACCGTCACCACCATCACCACCGACTTCCACCGCCTTCCACCACTACCCCCTTCAACTACCGCCACCTCTATTACTTTCCACCACGGTCATTGCCACCACAACCGTCACCATTACCACCACCATTGCTACTGTTGTCACCATCGTCGCCACCACTACTACCACCTCCACCATTACTACTACCTCCACCACCATCGACTTCCACCACCACCACCACCACATTCCACTACCCCCACCTCCACTGCCTTACACCACCATCGACACCCCCACCGTCTTCCATCATTGTCACCTTCGACCACCACCACCTACACAACTATTGCTTTCCATTACCACTATATATATCACTATCTTCCACTATCATCACCTACACCACTGATGCCCGCCACCACTACTGCCACAAATCACTGCCATCGCCTTTCGCCAACACCACTGCCGCCTTCCAACACTACTACCGCTTTCTACACCCACCACCATCGTCACCACCATCCACCACTGTCCCCATTTATTTTAAAACAATTATAGAATAATGTTATTTTGTTAATTTAATTTATTTGTGAGATATTTTGAAATTTTCAACTTGAAATTTATTCCATTCTAAATTTTAAATTGATCCAACCAAATATTAGAATGATTATTATCATACTATTCCGACACTTTTCATATTTTTAACCAAACACTGCTGCCTAGAATGGTTTATAATTCATAGGTTTTTTTTTTTTTTTCCTTCACTATGTTGTTACAGTATTAACATAATAAAAAATAAAAAATAAAGGGACTATCATCATGCCACAAAATATTACCATCTATCCGATGGGCTTGAAAAGTAATTGAAAGGCTCGGTCCATTAAATGAGTTGGGCTTAATGTTAGCTGACAGTACCGGGCCAACCAACACTGTTTTAGGAATATAGATCCTGACTTGAACAACTGTGAACCAAAGTCCAACATGCCTTTAATTCCTATTTTTGGTTGTCTCATCTCTTCTTCTTCTTTTTCTTTTTTTTTTTTTAATATATATAGATATATATATATTTTTTTCATTCACAACAAACATATTAACACACCCACTTTATTTTATTATTATTATTATTTATAGCTTTGGACTTTGAATCAATGAGCTGCCTCCTCTCCAAATTTCCTTTATGACTTTATACTAATTTTCTCCTATTTCAATTTAAGTGCACCAATAGGTGCTTCCAAACATAAGATATAGTGCACCTACTCTGAATTTTTCATTACAATTATTTGTTAAATGATGCAAGAAAGTGCTCGACCATTGAAAATATGCTGTTGATGGGGGTGGCAATTCGATTATTGTCAAGACAAGGGTATTATACTATTATGTTATACATATCAACTCTAATATAATTCATTTATTATTTGTGACGATTTTTTTTTAACATGAATACGACATATTTATCAAATAATTATAATGACATAACACGTGTAATCATTTTAATAAAAAGGTTATGTGATCAGGCTAATAAATAAATCATGTAACATGAAACACGATATGATTTGTTTAAATTATAAAATATAAATACGAACAAAAAAATTGTCTAATGGAAAAAAATTATAAAATGATAATTTTTTTTTTTTATCTATTTCATCTTAATAAACACAAAATTAACTTACTCGGGGTTTTTAGTACAATGCTGAAAAAACACAAATTATCTGTTATATAGGTAAAACAACAAAGGTTAAGTCTATATCGGATCCTCTTCTAATGCCTTAGAGTCTTTGACTTGTTTGGCAACTTTAATGTACAAAACAAATAATTGACCGCAGCAATATT